TAAGGTCGGCCTTAGCTCCCCACTCTGTGCCCCCTCACGCACTGAGTTAACAGGCCTTCCCCGAGCTGGGACCACCACCATCCCAGCCCCTCCCACCCCACACACTGCCAGCCATGGACAAGCACCCCGGGATCACAGCAGTGACCTATGGATTTGGGGACGCTGGCCAGCCTGTTTTCAGCCATCACCACCCCCCTCACCCACACCTGGAACACAGGAAGAGCTTCCGAGGTTTGCCTACTCTGAAGCTGGCCAAGGTCGCCAGAAGGCAGAACTTGAATCCAGACAAGGTCCGTCCTTCCGTCTGTCCATCCATCCATCCCTCCTTTCTTCCTTCCCTCCCTCCCTCAATGCTTATGTAGGCCTACTGTGTGTCAGGAGTTGGGGACTAAGCCCATCCAGATACACTCTGTAATGTGCTACGCTATGCCCATCTGCTGCCAGACACCCCCCGTCCCCCGGCCAGAGTAACAGTCAGGCCACCTCAGCTGGCCAGTGGAATCCTGCCTCTGTAACAGATGGAAGTCACTGGGGACCCTTCTAGTCCTGCTCTGGTGGGAGCAGGGAGGGGTACTTGGCGAGATCATGGCGGGTACAAAGGTTTGGTAAACGATGAAGGATTTTATCACTCCAAATGGGCTGGGCTGGAACATGGAACAGCACAGCCTCACAGGCTGCACCCCAGGGCCTTTGCACCTCAGCCTGGAATCCCTTCCTCCCTCCAGATACGCCAAATGGTCTGGAAACTCCCATCTGTATAGACCTCGCTCCCTTCTCTTATACCCCAAGTGACGCTTGATGAATACGGCCTTCCCTAGCCATGCTATTTTATTTTGCTAACCACGCTATTTTGGACTGCGACCCACCCCACCCTACACCCTTTCCTGAACTATTTTTCTCCATAGCGCTTATCACCATTTATCATACCAAGCACACATTAGTTCCTTCTTTATTGTAGCTCCTTGTTTATTGTCCCTCTCCACCCACTGGAACAGGAGTCGGCAAGCTTTTTCTTGAAAGGGCCAGATAATAAATCATTTAGGCACTGGGGGCCTATCTTGCCTGCTGCAGGGAAAGCGGCCACAGACAACACATAAACTGTTGGGCTCTGTGCCAATAAAACTTTATTTACAAAAAACCGGAGGTACACCTAATTTGGCTAGGGTCCGCAGACCCTTACGTTACAGTGTGGGTTTATTCCACCCCAAGTGCCCCCTACGCTGCACACAGAAGGAGCTCAATTATGGAGGAGACGGATGGGCGAGGTTATGATCAGCCAGAGCCTTTCCTGAGACCCTGCTTCACAGCCAGCATTCGGTGTTCAAGAGGCTTTGCTTCATTCTGTCTCCCCACCCTCCTCAACCCTGGGAGGGGAGGATTCTTAACTGTTCTGCAGATGAGGAAATTGAGGCTCTGACTCCAAATTCTACACTTTTCCACTCAGCCACACCACCCAGACGCTAGACCCTATTTGCCTGGTTTCGCTCCCAGCAAAGCCTCCCCCGAGCCAAAACAGAACAAATCTATCGTCCCTTTCTATTTAAAACGTTCCGGCCTCAGAAAGGAGCTGTATCCCTTAAAGTGTCACCAAAGGCTATCAGAGCATCTCATCAGCATGATCAAATCAGGGTTATCACCCAGAAAAGAGCTCATTCCAGCCCAGAGCACCGACATGTGACTCAGGCGTTTCTATGACAGCAGCTGAAAATAGGGTGAGGACCCTCCAGATAAAATGACCTTCACTCCCACTGATCCCGAGACGCACAGACCTCTGTAATATCTAAGCCAGAGAGCGGGTTAATGCCCTCGCCGTATAAAAAAGAGTCTGATCATTCAGTAAGAATCCCAAGCAAATCACCGACAACAGCAAATGGCTGAATCCAGTAAGAAATTTCTCGTTAGGATTTACAAAGAAGTATCAAAAGGGGATGACGCCATTTTCGTCTTTCCAACGAGCACATTTGGGGTTTGGCTGCGGGGAGGGCGGAGGCGGGGTGGGAAGCCACCCA